TATATAGATGACATAAACGGAGAATATTAATTTTAGTTTTGAATCGGATCATTTAAAAGTACAAACTCAAACGATTTAAAAGATATATTGCTTATGGCTGGGTGAATAGTATTAGCTGAGTTGTGTTGAAGATTAGAGACGTGCTCCAGAAAAAAAGTTCACGGTGACTGAGAGGCAGAACGCACACCCTGTTTATTTTCTTTATTTTACAAAAGCACAATATTTTATTTCGATTGTATGTAGGCACATAAAAAAGTAGACATTTAACAGATTATTTTCTCATATTTCTTAACTCTATATGAACAGAAATGATGGTAGTACTTTAAGTCTATTTTTCTGCTATGTGAAAAAAAACGAGCAAAACGCGCCCGCGCGTTTCTGGTCCCCAGAGGGTTAAGCTGCGTGCGCTGAAGCTGAAGAGCTGAATGAACACCAGGAAACTGAAGCGCTTTGTTAGTGGGTTTTGTTAGCTCAACCAAACGCATCCTATATGAGATTAATCAGATATGTATATAACATAAATGTAATGTTACAGATTAAATCTGCACAAAATGATGCAAATGCACAAGTGAACTTGAACTAAGTTGTGCAATTTAAAGTTTAATTCATAAATTTGGTGCACTTTGAGTTCAAAATTAAGAGCTCCAACCCATATTCAGTGTGCAAATTGAACAAAGAAAAAGTCAGTGCATTGACTTGTACCTGGACTTGTAACCTCAGACCTTTTTTTAGTTGTAATAGTGTCTCAGTCTACATTACACTACATACTACTAATACTAATAATAATATCAATAATAATGTTATAATAATTTCTGTATATGCAAGAGATTTAAACCGTGAGCTTTTATTTTGACTGAAACAGTCAAGCTTTTATTTTGGCAGAAAATAAGTTTACAAACGTGTCTCATTTAAAAATCTAGTGAAATGCTGTAATTGTCAACTATGCAAATGTGGAAATAATGCATAACTGCATTCCCAAATGCACGCTAAACTGATGGAGTTCACTGCATTCATTCACTGTGAATCAATATAGAGAATCGGACCTGAGCAAAGTGCTCTCACTTCTCTTAGCGCAGTGCAAACAGACTTTTTTGATAAGGACACAAATTTTTGATAAGGACACAAAGCCTTATTGCGCTTTCGTTTGCGCAAAACGCAACATTAAAGACCTTTTATGTTGTTATGAGAAGTTAAAATATATTTTCGTGCCGCCACAGTGTAATGAATGAATGGGCACTGAAATCTATTTGTAGTGGTCAATGTTGATATTGTGGCGGGCTGCCTGCCACAAATAAATCAGTGTATAGGAAACACTGGTTACCTGCTAGTCAGAATCTATTACTCCTGTTGTGGATGTGCGCTTCCTGTAACAACGCGCTGAAACAAAACATTGTGAACTCTGGGTTTAGTTGTCGTATTACAATAGTGTTCTCTCTATAATGTTATGTAATATGTTATAATAGTTCAAATCCTAGTTGTTAATGTCATGCATTGCTATTTGAGCTGCACGTGCTGAAACTTAAGATGAATCACCGCGCTCTTCCTGCAACGTGCTAAAACATTATTTTACAGTAGTGTTTTCATTATAATGTTATGTAGTCTATATAACAGATTTACTCTGCACATGTTGCACTTAACTGTATTTTCTTTTCGAAGTGATTCCAATCCTATTTCAGGCAATTCAAAATCATCATGGTTTTGTGCATCTGAAGTGTCGGAAGGAAATAATCCATTATTTATCTGCTTTAATATATTGGCCAAATTTTCTTAACTGGGCAATAACATTAAAAGCGAAAATATATTGGCCGATATATCGTGCAATCCTAGTAATCATATCCTGAACAAACTATACTAAAAATTTGGGGTCTGTAAGATTTTCTAAAAAAATGTATACTTTTATTCAGCAAGGATGCATCAAATTAGTCAAAAGTGTCAGTAAAGACATTTACCATTTTAGAAAAATGGTTACCATGGTTTCCAAAAATATATATAGCAGCACTGTTTTCAACTGTGATTTTAAGAAATGTTTCTTGAGCAGGAAGGATGATTCAGCTCTTTCATTACAGGAATAAATTACTATTTAAAATGTATTAAAATACAAGTTATTTTAAAGCTCCAGTCCGTAACTTTTTTGGGTTAAAAATTATCCAAAATAAATTTGAGCAAGTACATAACCAGCCAGTGTTCAAAACTATCTGCTTGCCTTAGCTCGATTCTTAACGGTAAGCTCGTAATAATGTTTTTAATTCCAGTGGTACTGGTGGATTTCCGCGGGAGATTCGTGCATGTCTTTGCGTCATTACGTCACATCTGTACACATAAAGGAGGAGTCTCAAACGACAATCGCAGTGACAACTAGAGATTCACGCGCTGTAAAATGCAAAAGACTTTGGACTGAGAGTTTGGAAAAAGAGACTGCAACCGGCCCATGCGAAAACGAGGATAAATATCTGAAGGGCTTTAAAGGAGCTGTATGTAAGATTGTGGACAAAACTGGTACTGCAATCACTTTCAAATTACTGTAGAGCTGTGTATCCCCTCCCCCTCCCCCCTGACTCGAGGTTGCCAGATAGGCTGCAGGATCCAGCAGGAACATAGGCTGCTACAAGGAGCTTTCAACTAGAGCAGAGCTGGCAACCCGGATGCCGAAACACTACTGACTTCGTGATTGGTAGATAGGTGGAGGGTGGGGCTTCAGGCCGAAACACAAGATGACAACATCAACATCAGTTGAGGGCTGCAACTTCACTTTTTAAATGACAATATCGTGGCCGTACTACTGTTGTCAGTGATATAAGTATTTGAAATGAACATGATTTCTTAATGTCTAGAGACACATCAGGGCCATTTTATGATTAATTGAAATACATTTCTTACATACAGCTCCTTTAAATGTAGTCACGCAATGCTGATGTTGTTAACATTAACAATTTGAGAACGTATAATTTGCACGGTTTGACGTGATATGATAATCGATCGTTAGATTTAATCAGCGCGATTTACTGCAATGCTTTTTTTCAGTTAGTTGGTCAGAAGAACAAAAGTGGATGTTACTTACTTGTTCAGATTACATTTTAGGGTGAAAATTCTAAAGTTGGTCATACTTCCAAAAAGTAGAATCTGTGTTTATTAATGACAGTCTCCACCCTGTGCGGTGACTGACAGCTGCACATTCTCCTCAAAACATTGTGTTCATCCGCGCTGTGCCGTGCCGAGGTACAACTCACGTAAAGTTGACAATTCCGCGAATAACTGCAATTGCAGAATTCGAACAGAGATGGCGACAAAGAGGAAAAACTGCGGACTGCAGCTTTAAATTAAAATGATTTCAAAATATTACTGTTTTCATTGTATTGCTATGTAATATGGTTGGGATTTTTTTTCTCCCTAATAAATGCAGCCCTGGTGAGCATTTACAAACCTTACTGACCCAAACTTTGGAACACTGAACATGAAACATTTATTCTAAAGTCGTTTACATGTGCCATGTTATTCTGCTATTAGAATATCGTAGTAGTCGTGTATGAATGCGGGAATCACATGCTTTCATGTTTGGAATAAAGGTTTCATGTTCAGGTTTCCAAGATAAATGTATCAAATGACGTACTTGGGCACATTTCATACAGTATATCATGTTGATAATTTAATTGTATTGCAGTCCTGGTTTCCTGCGCTTTGTGCGAGTCCTCTGTGGAATGTCATCAGATGAGAGGAAGGCGTTCCTCCAGTTCACTACAGGCTGCTCGACCCTGCCCCCTGGTGGACTGGCCAACCTCCATCCACGTCTCACAATAGTTCGAAAGGTATGTAAGCTCACTATTTTTCTTTTCTTTTTTCAATTTGCTAAGATCCATGATGCTAAAATCCAGTCAATAAGTTAACTAAGAACAACTAACATTCTCTCTTCATACCTGCTGTTTTCTTTTCTCTTGTAGGTTGATGCGACAGATGCCAGCTATCCTTCAGTTAACACATGTGTGCACTACTTGAAGTTGCCGGAATATTCTTCCGAAGAGATCATGAGAGAGCGCCTCCTTGCTGCCACTATGGAGAAGGGCTTCCACCTCAACTGAGCATTCTCTCCCTACATCATTGACCAACTCCCATACTGGTGAAGCCTGTTGTGTTTTGTTGCAGAAAATAAAGCTGTGCTCTGAAACCCCCCCCCCCACACACACACACACACACACACACCCCCAAGCACCCGACATGTACCCAAATACACAGGAAAAACAGTCCCATCGCAGCTCCAGTAGCTCCTGAACCGATTAGGGTCTCCTCCTAAACTGGCTGCTTCACATGGCCTTTCCCAGGTCACTCTACTGCTTTAAGGGCTTGAGCCACTGGCAGCCAGGGTAGTCTCTCCTCACCTACTGTGTTTACTGTCATTACTCCAGATCCAGTGTAAATTTTGGCATAGATCATCTTTTTTCAGACTTAAACATCACCACCTGCAGCTGCAGTGTCAGACCCTGGACACAAGCACACCTGCTTCTGTAGAGCTAACTATAGAGTGTTTGGGCATTTCCTTAACAGGTTTTAAGTTTTACTAGTGCCTGCATTTGTTGAAATATTAGGATTTTTTTTCTTTCATTTGTTTTACTTGATGTCTACATACAATCATGCACATGCTTTTTCTTTCTTTTGTTGCTTCCGTTATTGTGTTGAGTATGTTTTCAACTGTTCATTTCCCTGCTAAAGGATCAAAGTCCCTGAGTGCATTTGTGTAATTTTACAATAAAGCTATAGATACAGAAACACTGGTTCTGTGTGCAAGGCACATTTAAAAAAGAGAAAAAGACTAAGCAAAAAGCAAGCTGTGCTTTCCCTTGTATTTTCTTTGTATATTATAAACATTTATTTAACTCAAGTTGCAGTTTGAAGTAAACAAATATTTTCAAATGTGTATGCTCCAAAAATAATCATTAAAATGTTTGCAAAGTATCAACACTCATCTCTTTGACTAAAACTTTTTGTTGAAGAATGGAAAATGAACAAGGTTTAAATTGGTAAGAAAAGCTTTTATTTAAATTTGAAATGGATTATTAATAAACTGAATTGCACTGGTTTAGCTTTCAGCCATCTTGTCCAGGGCCAGTAGTGGTGCCAGTATACGGTTCTTATTTGTCTCCACAATGTGTCCGTTGAGGATCATTTCATCAAGTATAATGTGTACTTTATCTAAATTGAACATGATCTGATTTTCCATTAAGGAATGGAACACTCATATAAATGCATGTATCACTAAAGAAACAATGGACCCTTTTAACATTTTAGGGGTTCTCTGAATCAAAAGTCATAGTTGGTTAAAATTCTATTGTGGTGAACAGGAGACAACATGAAGAAGCTGCTGATGAAAATATTAAAAACTTTACTAGAATTGCATGGATGACTGGTAATTATGCATTACAGTCTGTAAAAAGAGTACATGACAAATAATATATTTCCAGCAAAAAAAGCAATCATAGCCAAGTTTGGTCAATACCTAATATGTAATTTTTACCGGTAAAGGATACATCCAGCTCACTCTGTCAAGAGAAGAAAACATCCGTTAATCAGTTAATCTTTTCTCAGGAAAATTGTAATAGGCCTATGCCTTTATCAAAAATATCAGTACTTACCACACGACTGAAATACTTGTCTAACACCTCTACAAAGTTGTGCACAAGCTCATAGATTGACAGTTCATTCTGTGGAAAAGAGAGCCAAGGACTATAAATAACAGACTTTAAAAAACTTTAAAGAAATACTGATTCCCAATGATGATGTCAGTAAATAGACAATATTACCAATAGTATGAATAACTAACCTCATTTTCAGTGATGCCGACAACAATGAAAAGAGCTGCATACTGACGATAGACAAGTTTGTAGTCCTTATACTCCACAAATGAACACTGAGGAAAAATAATTATTTCAACAGCTAATTTTAATTCTAAAGGGAATTGCCAGTTTACAAAAGTAAAATAAAACTCAAGACCACAGACTGAACTCCTGATATATGTAAATCATATGTGTAGATGCAAAGATATGTTTCATATGGTAATGCTTTGTATAACATAAACAGTAAGTTTCTGTCCTTTATATCACTAGAATTATCCCGAGGGGTCAGTGATATTCATAATATTCTGCACCGCAGACAATGGCTATAACATGTTGTGTGATCTACCATTAAATTAAGAGTAAAAGGGAAGCATGACTGACCTCTTCCTTCCTCCGGGCGAGACATCCCCTAACCATGTCAGCTTCAAGAGCTGCTCGCTTCCCAAGCTCCACTTGTTCATAATACTTAGATAGACGAGTCTGCCCCTGTTTGTTGACCATAAGTAGGAACTTGATCATAGTAATTCAGAAGAGTGGCCACCTCTAGAAAGAAGGAGAAATTACGTCATTAGCAAACAACATGGGAGGGCAAAAAATTGCAGTTTTAATTATAAGTTATTTGTAAAACGATAAATAAATTACATCACATTATTTACGGTATAACCGATAGTTTTCACCAACATACCACAGTTGCCACAATTATTGTTACTACTGTAAATTAATGGCGGATTGCTAATTTGCTATTGCTGATGTGATGTCAACATGGCAGCGTACACGTCACGAGGGAGTGACCTCCATGCTTTTTCATCATTTGAATATTTCTCAAAATTGCTTTTTTTATTTATTATTTTTGCGAAGACTGTCAAATATTTTAAATGAGTAAAATCGAGTGCACCTTATATTATGAAAATAAAATGAAAAAAAATATATCATGAGATCAATTGAAGTTATTTAAAATTTTATTTCACTCTTCCCGACTTTATAGCTATTTTCACTGACACATTTTATATGAAAAAAAGAGAAATTATCACAGATGTTATCTGTAAACTGATAAATAAATTACATGCATGTATTTATGGTAACCAACCCCCAAGATCAGAGGCTCAAATACTTTTAATATATCTCTTTAGCGCCTGATTACAATTCCTACAAAAACATGTTATGATAAAAAAAAAAAAGCTGTTAACTATGGTATAATGCCCATTAATCATGTCTGTATTAGTTTCAGTGCTCGAAGTGGGGCGGTACTCACCGGTACGCAGTACTGGCACTTCTACATTTTACTGTTTACTGCATACCTGCATATTTAGCGTACCTGCACTTTTTCTTACGTACCGCTACTTCTCGCATGTAGCCGGTACTCTATATACCACTGACAGAAAAAGCGTGACGGCCGTTTAACCCCTTATTTACACTGCACACATCTGCGGCACGTTACGGCTGCGAAACGGCTACCGGAGCTGATCGCGGCCACCGCACGCGTGAGCAGCGCGTATTTTTTTCGGCTTGCATGTTAATCAATGAGTGCATTCACACCGCGAGGAGGAGCGTCGCGTGAGCAGCAGTGAAGCGGGGGTTCGGCGCCGAGTCTATTGTTGTGCTACTCACGACATTTAAAGTGAAAGCAAAACATACTTTTGATGGAGAAAATAAATATGATTTCACACAAAAAGTGCCCAAAATGCACAGAATTTGCATGTCTAGTGTGTTTTAACAAGAATTGGAGTAGGCTACGTCAGAAAAGAAAATGAAGACTCAAAAATATGTATAGCTTCAAGATTTAGCCATTTAAACTTGTCTTAATTATTCAGTTTGGGTAAAACTATATGTTTTATTAATAAATAAAACGAGCAAACTAGTCAGAATATAAGCTTTCTTTTAGTTTATAAATAGCCTACACAGACATGCCCAAATCAAACCCGAGTTAATTTTTTTTTTAATGTTTGCTGTCTTGTAAACATATGACTGAAAAGACAATATCAGAGCTGTTTTCTTGGTTGTTTTTGTTGTTTACCATTTACATGCAATTGTTGTATACCTCCCATCTTAACAAACTTCAAGAATCAAGTTTATTAATGACCAACTTCTAAAAAGAGAATGTTTCTTTGTAAATAAATGCGCGCACACACGCACGCACACACACGACTTGTTTAAATACATTTATGTTGTTAATAAATAACAATAAATTGTTGTTGTACCAGCAATATTTCCAAGTTTTGTTTTTCACTGTAGAAATTTCAAATGTCATGATTTGCCAATGCAAGGCACCTTCCCCCACTTCAAGCACTGGATTATGTACTAACATGGCATACAGATGCACGCAGTTACCTATATTTATTGATTATTCACAATCATCTTTAATGTAATTACTTCTTCAATTGAATGTAATATTTCAATTAGAAAAAAACAATGTAATGGTCAATTATTCACTTGATATGCTATTATTTTTAAGAATAATTTATGAATTAACAGTTTAATCAAGTTAAAAAAATTTACGTGTTTTATTATGCACTAGTAAGCTATACTTTAAATTATTATCGTTCTATGCACTTATGGCTCTTTTCCACAGCATGGTACGGCTCAGTAGCTATTCGGCTCGGCACGGCTCGGTTCGCTTTTCCACTGCATGCATTTACCGCTTCAAAGTGGGTGGGATTATAGACTGATTGTTATAGTTTTTCCGCTCTTTGGAAAACCAACGAGAGGAACGTCTGGTCTGCACTTCGTCCACTGACCACGATTCAGCCATTTCTTTTTGGAAGGTTTTTTTCTTTCTTTTTTCTTCAAGCAAGTAGTTTTAAAACAGGTGCTAGTAGGCCTACTACAGCGGTGGCTGTTACTGGCTATTTAATTCCAGCGTACCGTACCATGCAGTGGAAAAGCGCCACAAAGTGAGCCGTACTATACTCTTTGGCCATACCGAGCCGAGCTGTACCGTACCGTACCATACCATGCAGTGGAAAAGCGCCATTAGTATTATTCATATTATCATATTTGATGGCGACCTGATTTCGCGGAGGGATCTGATTTGTCATGACACCGGTCATGTGATGCCAACATGGCAGCGTCCATGAGGGGGCGACCTGCTCCATGTAGAAAAAAAGTTGTGTTTTCATGTTAGTGTACATCATTTTAATAAGTTGCAGTTTATTTTTGTGGGTTAAAAAATCTTTAAATGGGAAAAACATTTTTTTTAAATGAGCCAAACCAAGTGCAAAAAAAAAAAAAAAAAATCAAAAGTGAAAACAAAAACTAATTATATCAACTGAAGCTATTTGATATTTTACTTAACTCTGCCCGATTATATCTATGGCTATTTTTCAACGCCATATTTATTTTTATACTGTCAGTCAGGTCAGAGAATGACGTAGACGGGCTTTGGTCAGGTACAGAGCCTGTCATTTTACAGCCCTGTACGCATGCGCAGTTATCCGCCCGTCAGTCTGTATTCGGATGACTCGAGACAGCGCAGGGTTGGGTGAACGCGTCCCATCATGCAGCGCGCGCGCCAGTCCTCCCTCACTCACTCACTCACCCCGCAGTAGGAGACTCACATCCAGGGATCGGACTAATGGCGGCCGGCAAATCCGTGCGCTGACACGAAATCTACAACAGCCGCTCAGGTGCCAGCCTATTTCGTGGGGGGCAGGGCGACGTCGCATCGCTGCACGAACGGTAAAGAAGGGCGGATTGAGGGGAAACAATCGGCGACTTCTAGCAGGACTTTCCTATTTTTAAACATGGATGAACAGCCAGGCGGTGGAGGAGGAGGAGGAGGAGGAGGAGGAGGAATGGCCGCCCAGAGACAGCAGCAGCCCGCACCGCAGCAGGGCAACAACAGCATTAATCCCCAGATCGCCAGCGCTGGAGGAGCGCCTATGGTTCAACAACAGCAAGACGAGATGCCCAGGCCCCAGCAGTACACTATCCCGGGGATTTTACACTACATCCAGCACGAATGGGCCCGTTTCGAGATGGAAAGGGCGCATTGGGAAGTGGAGAGGGCCGAACTCCAGGTACAGACCCGTGGATTTGCTGACACAGTAGTTAGTAACTCCAAGTGGGGACATTGATCGCCATCAGATCGGCTGCTTTAATTGAAGACTTAACGTTGATTTAGTAAGCAATTTACTACAGATCTCGCGAGCTTCCTGGCCGCCCCCATTTGCACTAGCAGTAACTGTTAAACGGGAACAGTTGCATTACAATAAATGAATCTGTTTGCACTCTAAGTATGCGAGACAGAAAATTTAGTACGCTCGTATTAGTTATAGTGATCTAGTATTTCGCGTCGCTCACTCGCTTGTAGTGTGAATGGGCTAAGCTAAGCTAACATGACATCGTTGTATTAGCGATATTACTTGACACCCGGTACAATCGAGTCAGATTATCTTACCCAAGAACACAGGAGCAGATTTAATAGTCGTTGTTGTGGATTTATCTGGTCACGAGAAAGCATCTGTCAGTGAAAGCCAGCAGACTTTGTCAACTATTCTCTTGTTCTGCCATTTTGTTTTGGTCAATATGGCGTCCGTATGGGTTGCTTCTTTTATTGATCCATCCTACTACCGCTCACTTTCACATTGACACCCTGCTGTATTTTCTAACACACCATATCTGTTCTTTTAAAACAAAAAGAAGTAAATGTCGCCGTTTATTTCTTATTCTTCCTGAGAATCCCCGTAATAGTCCTCAGGAAAAGATGTTTGGCAGAATGACAGCGACAATCACCTATTGCCGTTTACTGTATGAAAAAAGATGCATTGGAAGTGAATGGTGACCGAGACTTCGAGTTACTTACTTTGACTTACATCTCCATTTATATTACATAAAAGAAAGTAAGTTATACACGTTTGGAACAACATGAGGGTGAGTAAATAATGACATAATGTTCAATTTTGGGTGAACTTTCCCTTTAAGAATGCTATGAGCAGATAGTCTTTGAGCCCCATCTTATTTTAACTAACTTATTTCTGATAAATCATTCACATTGTTTAGATGAAAGTATCATGATGTAATGTAAATGTATTCCACCATCATATGTGTCATTATTTACTCACTTATTTACTTGGTGTTTATCCAAACCTGCATGACTGACTTGACGTGCAACACAAATACAGATGTTTGCATAAATAACAGGCCCAGTTACCATTCACCTTCACTGTATAAAAAAAGAAATTATATTTTGCAGGTGTTTTGGGTGTACAACACATAGGCCTACCATTTGACCAGTTTTGTGTTTGGAAGTTGTTTTTGACGTCCATACCTTTAAATGTTGAGTTCACCCAAAAATGAAAATACTGTCATTGATTACTCACCCTTATGTTGTTCTGAATCCAAACCCCCAAGACTTTCATTCATCTTCAGAACACAAATTAAAATATTTGGGGGGGGGGGAATGAAATCTGAGAGATTTCTGTCACTCCATTGACGGCTACTCAACTAAAACTTTTTTTGACACTTCAAAAAGTTCATAAAGAGACCATGTGGTTTTAGTTGAGTAGCCGAGTGGTTTAGTCCATATTTTTTTTCATCATATAAAGCGATTGTCTCCTCAGACAATTTGGATTAAACCACTAAATTCATATGGATTAGTTTTATGATCTCTTTATGAACTTTTTAAAGCGTCAAAGTGGTAGTTGCGTAGCTGTCTATGGAGAGTACAGAACTGGCTCAGATTTTATTAAAAATATCTTCATTTGTGTTCCGAAGAGGAACGAAAGTCTTATGAGTTTGGAACAACATGAGGGTGAGTAAATGATGAGAGAGTTTTCATTTTTGTTGAACTGACCTTTAACATCTGCAATATTGTAGGATGTTGTTCTTAAAGGGATAGTTCAACCAAAAAGAATAGCCTAATTGTCATAATTTACTCTACTTCTTATCGTTTCAAACTTGTATGGCTTTCTTTCTTCTATGGAACATAAAAGAAGATATTTTTTTTAAATGTTTCAAGTGTTTGTTTTTTGTTTGGTTTGAAAGTGATTGTGAGTGAGCTGTGCTTCATACATCACTACACTTTGACAATAGACAATTGACCTTTTTGCCTGCGACATTTCACTTAAAATTAGTTAATGCGACTGCATACTAAGTCATACAGGTTTGAAATTACATGAGGGTGAATAAATTATGATAGAAAGTTCATTTTTGGGTGAACTCGTCTCTTACATTAAGTGTGTCATGATGGCTAAATTTCCCAGCCACCCATATTTTCAGCCAACTAGAGATGAGGGTGGCAGTTTGTCTTTTGTGAATGAAGAAAGGAGCTGGAAGGTCTGTGGCAGGACGTTGCGTTGTTATGTAAACATAGTCAGTCTTCCCTTATGAGGCTGAGGAGTTTTCACCACCCCTGTACAGACTTGTTCAGTGACATACTTTCAGGATGACTCCCTCCTCAAACCTAATGGGCACTTTTCATTATTCAGAGTAAGTCAGCTTGTACTCCCACACTCATACCAATCCAGGTCTTCTCAGAAAAGGGTTTGGTCTTGTTTATCAGCTCTGCATTCCATGTTTCAGATGTTCACTTGCCACCTAATCATCAGACAGACACATATTTTGAAAACACCACAAACGAACTAATGCTGCAAGTTAAACCATATCAAATCATGTTACCAATTATGAACTTTTTGATTCGCCAGCCTTGCATGCAGATTTCATTATCAGGTGCTGCTCTTCCATGCATTTGGCATCTTGTGTATAGGAGATCTGGCTAATGTCATCGTAATGGACAGTGGTTCAGTCTTCCTTTGATACTGTCTGGTTCTAATTGATGTGAAACTCCTCCTGTCAGTTTGCCGGGCCTCGTTGGCATAGCTGCTAGCAGAGATGTCCTGAGCAGTCACATCAGGAATAGGCCTGAATAGAGTTATCTGGGTTAGCTCGGGGTTTGTAGGTCATGGTAGCACCATCTTCAGAGTTGTGGCTCATTGCAACTCTCCAGCCATCAGATATTGTTAGTGCAGGTTTTATATTTATCATTGAATTGAGCTATATCAATATATCATGAATGTCTATAAATCTCCATCTCTTTCATATGCTGAGATATCTGTACTAGGGGTCGTATTACAGGAACTTCCTGCAATTCCTACATTAACATTTGACAAGTTCTAACTAAAATCATTAAGATTACTAAACAGTCATTGATCACAACATAATTATTCAGTTACAGGTAATCAACCACATTTTTAGCTTTTATTCAGCAGTTTAATTATTAACCAGTGTTGTTTTATTATTATTTATTTATATACTTTAGTATATGTTTAATTGGCTTTTATTTTATATTTTCAGTTATCATTTTAGTTTGATTTGGAATTTTGCTATGTGCTTTTTCCATTAGCTTTTGTTTTTTAGTATTAATATTTACCTTTATTTTATTTTTTAGTTTTAGTCATTTTAATACTTTTTTAAACGTATTTTATTTTGAGTTAGTCAGCAACTAAGTTTGTCATCTGGTATTTCATTTCAGCCTTATTTCAATTAATGAAAATGATTTTTAGCTAATAGTTGGTAGTTTCAGTTTACAATAACAACATTGAAAGAAACAAGTAGTTAATATAGCTGCGAGCAGCGATTACGGGCCCAAGCCGGTGGCACCGCAACCCCGGTTCCTTTAGTTACCTAAAGGCACCGGGGTGGCGGTGCCGCCGGCTTTGGCCCTTCATCGCTGCTCGCAGCTATATTTATATATATATATATATATATATATATATATAAATTATATATATATATAAAAAAAAAATATATATATATATATATATATATATATATCACTTGCCTTACCGGATTAGAACAATGAAAACAATAAAAAAAATATAGCTGCGAGCAGCGATTACGGGCCCAAGCCGGTGGCACCGCAACCCCGGTGCCTTTAGTTACCTAAAGGCACCGGAGTGGCGGTGCCGCCGGCTTTGGCCCTTCATCGCTGCTCGCAGCTATATTTATATATATATATATATATATATATATATATATATATATATATATAAACAAGCCGGTGGCACCGCCACCCTGGTGCCTTTAGGGTTACTGTGCATGACGGGCAATATCGTAACTCCGCTTTGACCTTTGAGAAGATGTGTGCTGTAGAGCTTGCATTGGTGTGGGCTCTGCAAAAGTGTGCATTGAGGGCACATATCAACCACAAAGTATGCGTGAGCAACCTTCTGAAACCTAAAATGAAAAATGAGACACTCTACGGTCTCATGGACTTAATGGACACATGAAATAAGTACACAAGTTTGAAAGTTATATGAAGTGTGCCAAGACAGAATATTACTTGCCTGATCTGATTAGAAAAATAGTTGGTGTGTGTGTGTGTGTGTGTGTGTGTGTGTGAGGCGTGATTGAACAATGTAGACATAAAAACATACCCCGTCCTTTTGTTCATACAGGACATTATTCAAACTGCAAAGTGTTTACTTATATTTGTGTACAATCACAATAAAACACAACATTGTGCTTTTGTCAAACTGTAAACTACAACTGTCACCCAACCGAAATCTCTTACACACACACACACACACACACACACACACACACACACACACACACACACACACACACACACACACACACACACACACACATAGTTTAAAAGCAAAAAAAAATCTTTTGGACATTCATCATATTGCATTGGTTTTCATTTATTGTCCTCGATCAGAGCCCTAATCTGTTTATTTTTTCAGTTACACATTCTACATTGATTAAAAAAGAAAAATCAAATGTGTTTTTATTTTATACAGAAATAAATAATCTATCATTCAGATGAGAATAAAGTTAGTGTTAGTTCAAATTTTAAGGAAAACAAATATATGATCTGAAATATAGCACATTCATTTATAATTCATTCAGGTTCAATTACCAAACATACAAATCTCAATGTAATTTAAAGCAAACAATACATTTAAAATACATGGGTTGTATGCTATTTTTTTTTATATAAAAAGATATATATCCAAAAAGACAAGGCCTAAACTTTAACAAGGGTTAAACAATCACTGTAACAGACACAATCACACACACACACACACACACGTCAAATCACTTACATTTTAGATGCAATATTGACTTTTTTTTCTGTTTCAGCAGCGAAAATAGTTAAACAAAGATCACAGCAGAACCATCGAGCATCTCACAGCAACGCGTTCTCATTACTGAATGATTCAGCATTTTGAACGAATCGGTTGACTCAAAGATTCAACGACCAATCCATAATCTGTCTCATTCATGAATGACTCAGCCGTTCGAACGAATCGTTTGAACGAATGAATCAATGACTCGCTCATTAAGACGGTCGCCTGGCGACACCTAATGACGGTTTAGTGATATTAAAAGTATCATTCTTTCCAACGATTGTTAATTAACTCATATTTGAAACATAAGCTATATATATATATATATATATATATATATATATACACACATATATATACACACACATATATATACACAAAAATAAAATAAAAACACATTTGAAGCGTGTTTGCTTACTAAATTGTGAGCGGAACGAAAGTTGCAGCAAATATCAGCAACAGGAGTCAAATTTCATTA